CAATTCCATGTGAGTTCGTTATATTCACATTATATATATTATATACCTACTTGCAGCCACATTACGTTGACACACCGGTTTCTGTACAATCATCGAAGTTAAGCAACATCGAGCTTGTCGATACTTAGATGAGTAATCGCTTGGTTGCTATGATTGTTAATCAGAGAGACATATTCCAATTCTAGTTGAATTCGTTATATTCACTTACGGCCGCATCACGTTGAAGTAACGGTTCCTGTACGATCACCGAAGTTAAGCAACGTCGAGTCTTGTCAATACCTAGATGATTAATCGCTTGGCTACCGTGAAAGTTAATTGGAGAGTCACGTTCCAATTCCAGTTGGGCGTTTTATATTCACTTACGCGCAAATACCGTTGGGGAAACTATGAATGTCCGTCTTCTCCTCCAACCTATGAGTTAATTAGTAAGACTTGTGCTACTAAATCATTATTATCTGTAAAATTTCGTACAATGCAAAACTATTATCTGAGTTTAAATAACCTGTGCTCTCTACAAGCAATAATAATAATAATGATAACAAAATTAATAATAATAATAATAATAATAATGATAATAATAATAATAATAATATTTACTATAATGAAATAAATAAAGAAAGAAAGACAGTGGAATATAAAGAAAGAAAGAAAGAAAGAAAAGAAAATTGTGAAAATATTCAGAAATTAAAAAGAGCGGGGGAATAAATAAATAAAGAAAGAAAGAAAAAGAAAGAAAGAACGAGGGAAAGAAAGAAAGGAAGGATGGAATGAAAAGTCAGTAGTCAGCAGGTAACTGAGACATTCTGGTGACTGAATACAGGTCCCGTTTCAAAAGCGTAACGTTTGTACAATCAACGTGGACGTTTCCCAAGACTTGCTACATTTCAGATTTTCCATCACTGCCTTTCAAAATGCAGAGGATTCTACTTGGCAATGACCATCTTCGCTCCTGATAACACCCCTGTACCGTCGTTTCTACAAGCAATAATAATAATAATATTTAATATAATGACTGTTATATCAAACGCATTCTACGTCTTATAGGAAAATACTAGACGAATCTAGTATATTCTACTATAATGATCATATTGTTATAGCAAATATCAGTAGGTCACGTGTCCCTTGAGGCTTGACAAGCACTAGCCATATTTCTAAAGATTGCCAGTAGTCATAGATTCACCCCAAGAGAAACTGGAGAATCAAAGCCCAAAGACCGAAGTTTATGTTCGCAATAATTCTTGCGTTTAATCTCTTCGAAATGTTTTGGTGATTTATTCGCTGTCTCGTATATTATTTGTATTACATATTTTCATATATTCAACACTTGCACGGCTCCCGAAATATCAAAGCCGTTATATGTATTCAACCGCTTTCTCAGATCGATTGATTTTTTTTTTATCGGGTCGTAAGTCTGAGGACTGTTAAACGATTAAGTCGTTAAATGAGGAATTAATGTAAATATTTAAAAAAAAAAAAAAAAAAAATCTATAGATACAAAATGACAGCAAAATCCGTAAATTTGACCTTATCCACTACCAAGCTATTATTTGTCAGTGTTTCACAATCACAGTGATACGCGGCTTTCACTACATTAAATCAGCGTCACCGAGCAATCATTATCACTAGCCATTGTCTTCCAGGTATCCTATATATGTTCTGGTCTACGATACAAAGATTCCAACACGTTCTTTTCTAAGTTCCTTATACAGTGTAACCCGGATATAAGAGAGTTGTCGGGACCGGAGAAGAAGTCTCTTATATCCAGGTTTCTCTTATATCCGAGTTTGGTCTATTTTATATACATTAACACAGGCTTTAATTTGGGACCAGAGAAAATCTCGCCTATATCCGGGTTTCTCTTATATCCGGGTCTTTATATCCGGGTTACAGTGTAACCCGGATATAAGAGAGTTGTCGACCGGAGAAGAAGCCTCTTATATCCGGGTTTGATCTATTTTATATACATTAACACAGGCTCTAATTTGGGACCAGAGAAAAATCTCGCTTATATCCGGGTTTTCTCTTATATCGGGTTTTATATCCATTAACACAGGTAACCCGGATATAAAAAATTTGGGACCGGAGAAGAAATCTCTTATATCCGGGTTTGATTTATTTTATATCATTAACACAGGCTTTAATATCCGGGTCTCTCATATCGGGTCTCTTATATCCGGATTACACTGTACAGAGTAACCCGGATATAAGAGAGTTGTCGTGACCGGAGAAGGAGTCTCTTATATATCCAGGTTTCTCTTATATCCGAGTTTGGTCTATTTATATACATTAACACAGGCTCTAATTTGGGACCAGAGAAAATCTCTCTTATATCCGGGTTTTCTTATATCCGGTCTCTTATATCCGGGTTTCACTGTATAAAAAATATATATATATATATATATATATATATATATATATATATATACAGTGTAACCCGGATATAAGAGAGTTGTCGGGACCGAGAAGAAGTCTCTTATATCCGGGTTTGGTCTATTTTATATACATTAACACAGGCTTTAATTTGGGACCAGAGAAAATCTCTCTTATATCCGGGTTTCTCTTATATCCGAGTCTCTTATATCCGGGTTACACTGTATTCACTTACCCGTGGGGAAGCTATGAATGTACCTCTTTCTCCCCGAACTATGGGTTAAATAATAAGAATTCTACCAGTAAATCATTATTATCTAAAACAAATCTATTTTCTGGCTTTAAATAACCTGAAAAGTGTTGATATGTCGTAAAAACTGAATCAGTCAATGTAGTTGTGATTTAGTTGGATTGTGTGATTCTTCTGTATTCGCGGGGTTCCGTTTGTTTCCTAAATCAATCCAATTCTTCTCGACAAAAATAAGACCCGTACTGCTTAATCAGGTTTCATATTTACATAAATTAGAGGCCGAAGAATAGCGTCCTTCTTACATAATTAATTTCGCTTGACGAGAGATATTTTCGTTTTTTGCAAGAATCCTGTGAGTTCTGTGAGTTTTCGACTGTGACTCTGCAGCCTCTTTTAATCATCCCGGTTCGCTATGCCTCCTTTCTTTTGGGGGCAGCATTGTAACCGACTCTTTTTACGGTAGTAGTGAATAGTGTCAGCCTTATTTATCATCGTCATCCATCCCATCAAGGTATGTGGTTGTAAAGTCGTTGCGAAGCTGAGCACTTTCCAGTTCCCTCTAATATGTCTCAACTGCGTGGTAATGTTTGAGTCTCCCTGAATGTTCTCCCCGTCCACTCAATGAAGTTGTTGGAGTAATTTTTAAATCTGCCTGCCTCGTCTATTTTTTTGCCTAAATAGTCTGCGAAGGAGAGCGAGAAGAAAGGACTAAGCATAAACTACAAGAAGACAGAATGTATGGCCTTCACCAAAAAGGTGAGCCCAAAAAATGCAATTTACCCGCCTCGGACACTAAAATCAAGCAGGTACAGAAATTTAAATATCTGGAAAGTGTTCAAGCAGAGGTCGGAAATTGCGACGCTGACCGAACGCTCCTCTGTGGCCGAAACGGTTAAAGGCACGACAGGCTATATGACGGTTCCGTATAGGATGCAGGTTCGATTCCTGTCGGAAGACGAACATTTTCGATGAGGATTTCTCGGACATTGAGGCAGGTAAATGTTGTTTAATACTGTTTATTTTAAAACAGAGAATTTACTTAGATATTTGTATCTATAAAAAGAATTATACATTCTTTTTATAGATACAAATATCTTAAAATGTCTTAAAATAATTGTCGGACTTTATCCATTTCATTTATATATATATATATATATATATATATATATATATATATATATATATATATATATATATATATGTACACCAATGAAAAACTACCTACAAACGAGAAAAAATAATCTGTCAATTCCTGATACTCACTGACGTGTGGACGGGGTGATTTTACGGAAGATCCGTCTACGAAACTCTGGAATAGGGACGCTGAACATCAATCAGCTCAGTGGCAAATTATATATATATATATATATATATATATATATATATATATATATGTGTGTGTGTGTGTGTGTGTGTGTGTGTGAAGCTAGATTAACTAGCAGTGAGTTCGTTTCTAACTGAATCTGTGCCACATCTAAACTAAGCTTAGTCAATCACTGTATGTCAAGAGTTTACCGGGAATCTAAGGAAACGCTGTAATATGCGCTTTAGAATCGTACCAAATATAATCGATGCACTTAGATCAATGTTTTGTTTTTTTTTTTGTTCAGATTGGTTTACATTTGCTGACCCAGAGCTACTAAAATTTGAATTTCACTGTTTGTGACGTTTGGGGGCTATTTTTAAAAATAAATCTGGTCTCTCTCTTGAGCTATTAATGAAAAGAAAGTCAATTCAAATTTTAGTAGCGCTGGGCTTTCAAATGTAAAACTAGTCGATTCTTGTAGCTCAAAACTGGCAACACTATTTGGAACGGCGCCAGAGAACTACCGAAGCGAGATTGGAGAAATTTCAGATTTGACGAGAGGCAGAAACTGTCCGGCAATGGTTTTTGCGAAGATACTGAGAAAGGTGCAGGAATTTGAGGAGGCTAATTGTCACACAGTCCCCAGCGTGAACAACTAGGGTGGGGTGATAATATGACTGTTTACAGCATAAGTTTGGTATATTTGAGCAGAGGGAGGTCACAGGAAGTAGTACGAAGCGTTGGCTCTCAAAAATATCTGCACCTCGCAGTTTCCGCTCAAATACCAACCGAATATCGGCCAGTCCTCATCCTGCTACCAGCGTGATCAATCATGAGCGTAACGATAGGTGGCCCTTGGCATCGTCCATTATCACGTTACGCCATTCCTGATAAAAACGAAACCATAAGATTCTCTTTGTTTTCAATGAATAAGCTAAAAAAGAATGCAAACAAATAAAAGGAAGAAAGAAAAAAAAACTGAAATTCGAAGGTCATCTTTGAAGGATACCATAATTCTAAATTGAGTTGTTCGATTTATTTTCGTATTTTCAGTTTTGTTTTTTTCATCGATAGACTTTTTCATCTCTATTCATTTTTTCCCTCTTTCCTGAGAACGTCCTTATTTTTTTCTTTACTTGTTTTTTTTCTTCTTTTTTTTTTACTTTTTTTTCTGTCTTTCGTTCCTATTATCCACCTCTTCCTTCCGTCTTTTCTTAATTACTCATTTATTTTCTTGCTTTCTTTGTCAGTGACTTTCTTTCTTGATTGTTACTTTCTTTTTCATTCATTTTCTTGGTCTTTGCTTTTCCTCTTCCCGCTTTTTTCTCTCACTTTTAGATACAAACTTTTTGTTTTCCTTCGTTCTTTTCTTTTTCTTTCTTCTTTTTTCCCCTCTTTCTTTCTTTTCTTCTTCTCCACTCGTTCTTTTCTTTCTTTCTTTTTTCTTAATAAATCATTTATTACTCTTTTCCTTTCTTTTTCATTCATTTTCTTTCTTGGTCTTTGCTTTTCCTCTTCCCGCTTTTTTTTCTCTCACTTTTATATACCGTTTCTTGCTTTTCTTTCGTTCTTTTCTTTTTCTTTCTTCTTTTTCCCCTCTTTCTTTATTTTTTCTTTCCACTCGTTCTTTTCTTTTTCTTTCTTTTTCTTAATAAATCATTTATTACTCTTTTCCTTTTCTTTTTCATTCATTTTCTTTCTTGGTCTTTGCTTTTCCTCTTCCCGCTTTTTTTTCTCTCACTTTTATATACCGTTTCTTGCTTTTCTTTCGTTCTTTTCTTTTTCTTTCTTCTTTTTCCCCTCTTTCTTTCTTTTCTTCTTCTCCACTCGTTCTTTTCTTTCTTTCTTTTTTCTTAATAAATCATTTATTACTCTTTTCCTTTCTTTTTCATTCATTTTCTTTCTTGGTCTTTGCTTTTCCTCTTCCCGCTTTTTTTCTCTCTCTTTTATATACCGTTTCTTGCTTTTCTTTCGTTCTTTTCTTTTTGTTTTCTTTCTTATTTTCTTCTCGTTCTTTCCTTTCAGTCTTCCCCACTCTCTCTTTTCTTTCTCCCTTTTTTTTTAATTACTCATTTATTACCCTCTTGCTTTCTTTTTCACTCATTTTATTTTGGGGTCTTTGCTTTTCTTCTTACTTCTTCGTTTACCTTTTTCTTTTTTTTTTCTCTCGTTTTTTTTTTTTTTTTTTTTCTCGACTCCCCTATATTTTTCTCTCCTGGTTATGACAATAAATAACATCCGCTCCCTGGGTGAGACGATAAATTACATCCGGCAGCAAGGCCCCTGATCAGGAGGTTTTGAGGAGCGTGGAACAACCTCTTAATTGCTGGTGTTCCCAGGTCCACCCTGACCCGAGGTGGTAGCACCTGTTAGGGTCCCAGCTATGGGCAAATAGTTAACTCCCAAACTGGGGTCAAAACACTATGAAAATTTAAAAATAGGTTTTAATACCAGCAATAATTTATTTGGGGAAAAATTATTCCTAGCAATACATTTTTGAAGGAAAAATTACCAGGTATAAATTTTTGAAGGAAAAAATATTACCAGAAATACCTTTTTTGAAATAAATATTAACAGCAATAATAATCATGTTGGCATTAAAAAAAAAAACAAAAAAAAAGAAACATGTCAGATTGATATGCCGTAAAACAAAACAGACCAAATCTATTTTTTTTTCTTTATATCTTTTTTCTATTATTAATTTTCTTCGTTTTTCTTCCATCTTTTCTTTCTCTTTCGTTCTTTGTCGACTCTTCTTATTCTTCACTGTCTTTCTTTTTTCGTTTTTGTTCTTTCCGTCATTTCATTTTTCTCTTTCTTTTTCTTTTTCTTTTTTTCTTTCTTACTTTTTTCTTTTTTACTAAACTCTACTACATTGCTCAAGAGCCACTCATGGTAGAAGATCACTGAATAAGATGTGAGATTTGAACGTAAGAGGAAGTGGAAGGACGTGAAGATTATAAGGATAAGAAGGATAGATAACGATTAACTTTTCGCTTGAAGAGTGTAAGCGTGTCGCTTTCAAGGAAGTTCACGAGAGAGTATGTGTTCCACGAAAAGTAAATTCCCGAAAAAAAAAAGAAACTGAGTGCAACTTCCTCATTACTAATGGAATACGGCATTTTTTGGCATGTTTAATCTTGTATTAATACAAAATTATACTGAGTATAAAGTGAAGGATCACTTTTCAATTCCTATTATGTAATAATCTAGTATACCATATTACTACATATTAAAAAATAACTGAAAAATGCTTCAGAAATAAATGTCTGAGAAATATATCCCAAAAGATTTCAAAAGGATTTTAGGAATTCGCAAACTATGTCGACAGCTTTTGTGATGGGTAAATTTGTCAAGGAAGCAGCAGACATACCTACCAGATTTTAAATTGTTATCTGTGTGATGCTCGCGGTCTTAGACAAGTAGCAATGGTGTCTTTATCAGGCTAATGTTTTAGATTTTTTTCCGATGATATCAGTTGCCATCATGGACTGGACCGGTGCACAACGTTCGTTTGCTCTTGAGACGATTTTAAAAAATGGTGAATCTGTAATTGCAGTAGAGAGAGTAATTCTTGCTAAAATCATGTTACGTTTGAATGGTCACTTTCTAAGCGTAGCTTAGATGCGGCACGAGGACGAAAGTATGATGCACCCGGTGAGGATCGAAATCAGTATTCGTTCATAATTGACCTAGCGAGACTAGCTTGCTAACCATTACACCACGTCGAGGTTCCCATGTTGATTTTCTATGTGTGGCACAAGGCCGAAAGTATGATGCACCCGATGAGGAGCGAACTCGCTATTCGATCATAATTGACCTAGTGAACCAACCTTGCTAACATCACGTCGAGTTTCCCCATATTATTTTTCTAAGCGAAGCTTGGATACGGCACAAGACCGAAGTATAATGCACCTGGTGAGGATCGAACTCACTATTACGTCATAAAAGACCAAGCGAAACAAGCTTTTTAACCATTACATCACGTCCAGGTTCCCATGTTACGTCGGAATGATCCCGTTTGGGATAGAAAATCGATACTGATATGGGTTAAAAATTTCAAGACCACAGGTTCAGCGCTGAAGAGAAAAACCTCGACACGCTCGAGCTTCCCACTAAATCCTTCTTTTCTGATCCATTTACTCAATCTCGTTTACGCGGCTTGCTCGATGTTTCGATCAGCTGTGATCTCTAGGTGTTCAAAGAAAATGATAACAGCAAGAACACTTATACTCAAAATCGGGAAAAGACAGCAGAAATCCCTTGGACACATAATGAGCAAGGAGGGCTTGGAATAATGAGCGAGGAGGGCTTGGAATAATGAGCAAGGAGGGCTTGGAATAATGAGCGAGGAGGGCTTGGAATAATGAGCAAGGAGGGCTTGGAATAATGAGCAAGGGTGGGCTTGGAATAATGAGCAAGGAGGGCCTGGAATAATGAGCGAGGAGGGCTTGGAATAATGAGCAAGGAGGGAATGGATTAATGAGCAAAAGGGCTTGGAATAATGAGCAAGGAGGGCTTGGAATAATGAGCAAGGAGTTCTTGGAATAATGAGCGAGGAGGGCTTGGAATAATGAGCAGGGGGCTTGGAATGAGAGCCAGAGGGCTTGGATTAATGAGAGGGGGCTTGGAATAATGAGCGAGGGGGCTTGGAATAATGAGCGAGGAGGGGGAATAATGAGCGAGGAGGGAATGGATTAATGAGCAAAAAGGGCTTGAAATGATGAGCAAGGACGGCTTGGAATAATGAGCAAGGAGGGCTTGGAATAATGAGCGAGGAGAATAATGAGCGAGGGGGGCTTGGAATAATGAGCGAGAAGGAGTTCTTGGAATAATGAGCAAGGAGGGCTTGGAATGATGAGCGAGGGGAATAATGAGCAAGGAGGGCTTGGAATAATGAGCAAGGAGGGCTTGGAATAATGAGCGAGGAGGGCGAGGAGGGCTTGGAATAATTGGAATTAATGAGGGCGAAATGATGAGGGGCTTGGAATAATGAGCAAGGAGGGCTTGGATGAGCGAGGAGGGCTTGGAATAAAGCGGGGCTTGGAATAATGAGCGAGGAGGGCTTGGAATAATGAGGAGGGCTTGGAATAATGAGCAAGGAGGGCATGGAATAATGAGCGAGTAGGGCTTGGAATAATGAGCGAGAAGGGCTTGGAATAATAAGCAAGGAAGGCTTGGAATAATGAGCAAGGAGGGCTTGGAATGGAATAATGAGCAAGGAGGGCTTGGAATAATGAGCAAGGGTGGGCTTGGAATAATGAGGAAGGAGTGCCTGGAATAATGAGCGAGGAGGGCTTGGAATAATGAGCAAGGAGGGCTTGGAATAACTGCAAGAGGCATGGAATAAGAGCAAGGAGGGGCTTGGAATAATGAGCAAGGAGGGCTTGGAATAATGAGCAAGGAGGGCTTGGAATAAGAGCAAGGAGGGCTTGGAATAATGAGGAAAGTGCCTGGAATAATGAGCAAGGAGGGCTTGGAATAATGAGGAGGGCTTGGAATTGGAAGTTCTTTGAATAATGAGCAAGGAGGGCATGGAATAATGAGCGAGGAGGGTTTGGAATAATGAGCGAGGAGGGGGATTAATGAGCAAAGAGGGCTTGAAATGATGAGCAAGGACTTGGAATAATGAGCAAGGAGTTCTTGGAATAATGAGCGAGGAGGGCTTGGAATAATGAGCGAGAGGGCTTGGAATAATGAGCGATGGGGCTTGGAATAATGAGCGAGAAGGGCTTGGAATAATAGTGCTTGGAATAATGAGCAAGGAGCAAGGAGGGCTTGGAATAATGAATAATGAGCAAGGAGGGAATGGATTAATGAGCAAAGAGGGCTTGGAATAATGAGCAAGGAGGGCTTGGAATAAGGAGGGTTCTTGGAATAATGAGCAAGGAAGGAATGGAATAATGAGCAAGAATAATGAGGGCTTGGAATAATGAGCCAGGAGGGCTTGGATTAATGAGCGAGCGGGGGCTTGGAATAATGAGGAGGGGCTTGGAATAATGAGCGAGGAGGGCTTGGAATAATGAGCGAGGAGGGAATGGATTAATGAGCAAAGAGGGCTTGAAATGATGAGCAAGGACGGCTTGGAATAATAAGGGTTGGAATAATGAGCGAGGAGGGCTTGGAATAATGAGCGAGCAGGGAGAATAATGAGCGAGAAGGGCTTGGAATAATGAGCAAGGAGGGCTTGGAATAATGAGCAAGGAGGGCATGGAATAATGGAATGGAATAATGAGCAAGGAGGGCTTGGAATAATGAGGAATAAAAGGAGGGCTTGGAATTGAGCGAGGAGGGAATGGATTAATAGGGCTTGAAATGATGAGCAAGGAGGGCTTGGAATAATGAGCAAGGATGGAATAATGAGCGAGGAGGGCTTGGAATAATGAGCGAGGAGGAAGGGCTTGGAATAATGAGCAAGGAGGGCTTGGAATAATGAGCGAATAATGAGCAAGGAGGGCATGGAATAATTAGGGCTTGGAATAATGAGCGAGAAGGAGGGCTTGGAATAATGAGCAAGGAGGGCTTGGGAGCGAGGGTGTGCTTGGAATAATGAGCGAGGAGGGCATGGAATAATGAGCAAGGAGGGCTTGGAATAATGAGCAAGGTGGGCTTGGAATAATGAGGAAGGAGCTGGAATAAGGAGGAGGGCTTGGAATAATGAGAATAATGAGCAAGGAGGGCTTGGAATAATGAGCAAGGAGGGCTTGGAATAATGAGCAAGGAGGGCTTGGAATAATGAGCAAGGAGGGCTTGGAATAATGAGCAAGGAGGGCATGGAATAATGAGCAAGGAGGGCTTGGAATAATGAGCAAGGAGGGCTTGGAATAATGAGCAAGGAGGGCTTGGAATAATGAGCAAGGAGGGCTTGGAATAATGAGCGAGGGGGGCTTGGAATAATGAGCGAGGAGGGCTTGGAATAATGAGCGAGGAGGGAATGGATTAATGAGCAAAGAGGGCTTGAAATGATGAGCAAGGACGGCTTGGAATAATGAGCAAGGAGGGCTTGGAATAATGAGCGAGGAGGGCTTGGAATAATGAGCGAGCGGGGCTTGGAATAATGAGCGAGAAGGGCTTGGAATAATGAGCAAGGAGGGCTTGGAATAATGAGCGAGAAGGGCTTGGAATTGGCAAAGGGCATGGAATAATGAGGGCTTGGAATAATGAGCGAGAAGGGTTGGAATAATAAACAAGGAAGGCTTGGAATAATGGAATAATGAGGAAGGAGGGCATGGAATAATGAGCAAGGAGGGCTTGGAATAATGAGCAAGGGTGGGCTTGGAATAATGAGGAAGGAGTGCCTGGAATAATGAGCGAGGAGGGCTTGGAATAATGAGCAAGGAGGGCTTGGAATAATGAGCAAGGAGTTCTTTGAATAATGAGCAAGGAGGGCTTAATGAGCGAGGAGTGTTTGGGGCTTGGAATGGATAAGCAAAGAGGGCTTGAAATGATGAGCAAGGACGGCTTGGAATAATGAGCAAGGAGTTCTTGGAATAATGAGCGAGGAGGGCTTGGAATAATGAGCGAGCGGGGCTTGGAATAATGAGCGAGCAGGGCTTGGAATAATGAGCGAGGAGGGCTTGGAATAATGAGCGAGGAGGGCATGGAATAATGAGCAAGGAGGGCTTGGAATAATGAGCAAGGAGGGCTTGGAATAATGAGCAAGGAGGGCATGGAATAATGAGCAAGGAGTGCTTGGAATAATGAGCAAGGAGTGCATGGAATAATGAGCCCTCATTAGGGTATATTGGGGATAAGAGATATAAGAAAATGTGGCGAGACACTTACCTGACAAATGGCTGGTGGAACGGAGTAGGAGTTTAGCTAAACAAAGGGAGAGAAACTCGCACGAGATAGGACGTTGCGG